TACAAAATCGAGTTGCTGATGCATGGAAGTATGATCAAATAGTCGATCATCAGAACATGAACAAATAAGATAGGTGTAGCAATGATCAGATTTAAGGAGGGAGTGTATAGGTAATTTTGTATTGGCGTTTCCTTTCCTACTCAATTTTTTTATCGTCTTTTAACGCATACTCGTAGTTTCGCAGTAGGGAAACCATGTGTCGCGGGTGCTATGGACACATATAAACAACCACAATTTACACCCACTACACTCACGAGAGAAGTAAATATAGGCCATACAAATATTCCTCCCGGTCCAGGAATGGAACCCGGGACCGCTGCGTGGCAGACCAGCATGATAACCGTTCGGCCACGGAGGCAATACTCTATCTAAATTGTCACATTTTAAAATATTAGATAAAGCAAATTGCAGCCTCGGTGTAATAAGGGCACAAAATGATAACTTTTCAGGAGAGAGGTTCAAAGATTCTACGAGCGAAATTAGTTTGTACCTTTTTATGATCAAATAGGAGAGTTATAAAAATTTGAATATACGTAATTGGTTTTATGTAGTCCATATTATTGTTTTTTAACCGGCTTCGGAAAAGGAGGAGGTTCTCAGTTCGATTGTATTTTTTTTGTGGAATGTTACGCGATTTCTCCGGCATTTGTGAACCGAGTTTTTTGATGATTATTTTTTTGTTGGAAAGAAAGAACCTCAGCGTTGGTCCCATTTAAATTTGAAGACAATATTCTACCTCTAAGGCATTCCAGTACCCGATTTCAATAAAACTTGGCAAATCGATGTAACTCCACGATATTTTGATGTCGTTTTTCTTTCTAATTAGGCATTCATTTTGTTCGTAACTGGTGTTTGTATATATATAATAAGGTTAACCAGCCTATGGTAAACGGCCAGACGATATGTATCTTACACTTTAAAGTATAAGATTAGCACTATTTTGCGATGATTGACTTCGTATCAACTCCCAAACCTACCTACATTTTTAATTTGAATTTGAAGAAAATAGTATTTGATGTTCATCTCACCTGATGGAACGTGACGATGAGACAATGGAGCATGCATGCCTAA